ATTTATCAAACCGAAAAACAAGACTGTACATACAAATGTAGGTTAAGTAGAACTCCTTGGGCCACGAGACAGAGTATCTACTAGTACTACTGTTGTTTGTAAGTGCTACCGCGATACCAAAATAAGATTAAGGTATGAAACAAGCATCAAAATTTCCATACAGGTTAACAATATAGGCATCTACCATACAACAAAATTACAAATTTAAATTTAATTTGCACATTGAGTGCAAAATAGAAGACCAATTCTGCCATTGATAAAAAATGAAATACAAATTTGTTGTGTTGAGTAACTACAAAAAATAGTATGTGTTCTTTGCTGCTTGGATATAGACCAAATTGGATGTAGTTTTCTTTTGGTACGATATACACACATCTTGATTTCCAATCCCTACAAGAGTTGTTGCATTTTCACTACAGTGCATATGTGCATTGATAAAAAAATGAGACCAACCCAAGGGCTAACCCTCGTTGGTATTTATTTATAGGAGAAACTCCGCGAGCATCACGCGTCCAAGACGGGACCTCAGTTGCCCAGCCAACGGGTCGACGCCCCGTCCTCACATATGTGCATTGATGCTATTTCTCTTTTAATTTTTTCAGAAAAAAAAACTCCTCGTACATTAATTTAATTAAAAGGTCCATATGATCTTTCGTTATACATACACCAGACGGGGCGGACCACTATCAAGAAAAACATCATTTTGATCTATTATCAGAACTGAATTTTGCTCATGTGCCACCACATTGGCTTGACGATTGACATTTGTGATCCTAAAATTATTGAAAAGCCTCGCGATGCCCAATGATTCCTTCTTCACCAATAGGCAACATGTTAAGATTTTCATTTGCAAGGAAGCCACAAAAGAACAATAAACTTTCAAAATAATGTACTACTTGTGAAAGGTGATACCGATATATGCGCAAAAACAATTGTCAAAAAAGGAATCAGACGAAAAATAACAAACTTATTGCTTTTGGCCCAATATACAGCAATTTCGGTCGAGAAGAAACTGTTTACATTTAAAAAAATCGTGATGAGCCTGAAGATACAAAGCCACTAATAGCCCCAAACTTTGTTGAATCAGGCAATAATTAATGGGACATTTACATCTGTGCCCCTAACTCGAACACACTACTCATATTTGCCCCTAATTTTGAAGCATGCTCAAATTTGCCCCTTCGCCGTTAAGTCACTACTCAGAAATGCCCTTCCGTACAGTCTGTAGCACTTTCCGTCCAATACTGTAGCACTTTCTGTCTGCTACAGTAAACATGGGCCTCTGACGGTCAAAGGCCTTTGACTGGACGGAAGGGCATTTCTGAGTAGTGATTTAACGACACAGGGGCAAATTTGAGCATGCTTCAAAATTAGGGGCGAATCTGAGTAGGTGGTTCGAGTTAGGAGCAGAAATGCAAATAGCCCATTAATTAATCTCTCCACTCCAAGCCCGTTGGGGACGACGGCATCTGATCGGGTGCTAGACTCGAGGGGGAGTTGTTCATTTCCTCCTGCCGTGCCGGCTTGCAGCGTAGCCGCGGGTGCGGGTCATCACGGTGTGGCGGCGCAACGGCCGCCGGCGGTGGCTGACCATAGACATGGCCACCGCCACCGCTAACGCCACCGCCGCCGCCGCCTCCGCCCTGGCCTCTCGGCGGCCCGGGCTGGGGTGGCGTCGGCGAGTATACTGGTACACGACCCCCGGCCGGGAAACTATAGCCGGCACCTGCATGAACACCACCATGGCATGCAAATTACACAACTAGCGCCAGTTGAACATGAACTCCAAGCACACGAAAAAAACAGCATGAACTGGTGGCTACCTTCCTCCGCGAACACGCTGTTACCTTGGTCGGCGGCGGCGGCAGAGCAAGAGCAGGGTAGCAGCAGGGAGCAGCAGCATGCAATTACCAGGAGGATCGGCTCGGCGTGTGCGAGCAAGGATGAAGAAGGAGAAGGTCCCTTCCTCATTACCGATCAATGTCAAAGCTTCCTCTCTCACTGGCTCTAGGCACCTCTCTGACCAAATGCGAGTGGCACTAATACAGTAATCTAGTTCTGCCAAAACTATAGGTGGAAGCGAGTGGTTCTAGGTCAAGGTCGTCTCTCTCTTGGTACAGGCATGTACATGCACGATTCATCGTGGGTCCGAATCCTATGCCAGAGCCTTGTTCACCAACCCATCGAGATGCTATAGTCGCAGGCTCGAACGGGTCAAGCAAAGCTGCTGCAGAATGTAAAAAGGAAAGGGTAAATTCCACTGTTAAGAGGCAGATATTTGTGAAACAGTGACGGGTTGAACTTCATTCTATTTTGTGAGGGTTTTGAATACATATGGTTATAGTTTTGAACCACATTTTAGTATTTGAAGTGGTTCTCATGTCACGGCTCCACACAGGGTGACGCTGACGCAGTATTACGCATCCGACGTGGTAGCGGCTAACCTGTGATCGATGTGGTAGAGGCTAAGACAAAGGATTAGGTGTTGTTTGGTTGGTGTCCATGCCAGCCCTACCAAAACGAGGGCTTGCCAAAATTTTGGCGATAGATTTGGCCTCCAGGGACTCGCCCACAGGTTACTGCAGAATCTGAAAGGGTGACCAAATAATTGGCAGGGATCCAAAAAATTAGTTGTGATCCAAACACTTACCAACCCATCGGTCAACGACCAAATAATTGGCAGGCCGGCTCTGGGCTCCAATCCAAACAGCCCCATAATGTCTAACGAGGGCCACGACAATCCCCTGAAAGTCGGGCCCATTATGTAAGAAAAAATTCAAATACTAAAATGCGGTTCGAAGTGGAAGTGGAACAATAGCGTGCAAAGTTTGATTCAAAGTGGTACTTGTATAAAATAAAATGGCGTTCAACGTGTCATTGTTGTTGACGCAAATATTTGTGTGGTTTGCCTTCTCCTATATATGAAGGGATATGCTCTAATTGAGTATGAGAACTTTGGGCAATTCCAGGCTGCAATAAGAGAATCAGACGGAACTGAGCTTCTTCCACAGATAGTAAGTGTTGACTGTGCATTTAGTAATGGCCCTGTCAAACGAAGAACCACATGTATCACATGTCCTTTGCTTGCCTTGTCGCAATTTGACGGTCGCCCTTGTCTTTTCATACAAGTTTCAGGTAGTTGTATGTCATTTTCAGGTCCCTCCTTTGGTGGACGGAGCCGTGTTTGCTGTTCAAGTTTGGCTTGCCAGTTTGAGACAATTGTAGGCGTCAGTGTTGGGTTGGCATGTTTGCGCGGACACTGATCATATGCACGGCGAAGTGAATCAAACAAAATGCCCAAAAGCATTTCAATTATGATGATGTATTAATCAGGATGAGAGGTAGAGAGAGGATGTTGAAATAGTTGTGATCCTCGCGACCTCCTATGTGACGCGCTCTGCGGCAAATTGTCGATACAACCAGCTGAGCTATCAAGCTTCAATGATTTTAAGACAACACATACTCTTAAGAAACAAACCCCAGCGCAGATTCGGTAAAAATTACTGAAATTTCAAACGCAATTTTTGTAAGGCATCGCAAATCATTAAATGCTGGAAGGCATTTTCTGAAAATCATGAACACTTTTTTGAAACGGGAACATTGTTTGTAATTCTAAAACAAAATTTGGAAAAGCGAACATTTTTTGAAACTTCCAAGGAAAATTTGAAAACACGAACATTTTATGAAACTCCTATAAAATGGAAACATTAAAATTAATTTTTTTTTGTAAAAACAATTGAAAACAGAAACATTTAGTGAAGTTCCGAATAACTTTTGAACAACCTTCCGAACAATTTAAAAAAAACAAAATTTGAAAACACAAACTTTTTCAAAATTTGTGAACTATTTTTGAACTCCTGCAAAAATTTGAAAACAAGAACATTTTTTAAAATTCAGAACAAAATTTCGAATTTTTTTTTAACATTTTGAAGAAAAACAGACAGAACAAAATAAGAAAACATGGTCATTTTTGAGAATTGGGGTTTTTTTTTAAAATGTGAACATTTTTGGAACTCCGGAAAAAATGGGACATTTGTAACAATTTTTGAAACATGAACATTTTTAAAATTTTGTGATTGTTTTAGTACTCAGAACATTTTTTGAGAAGTACAGAAAAAATCATAATCATGGACATTTTTTTGATTTATGAACCAAATTTTAAAACGCAATGATTTTTAAAAAATCTGAAAGAACGTTGAAGAAAGAAAATGCAAAATTAAATTGAAATGGAAGGAAAAAACGAAATAGAAACAAAATAAAAATAAACAGAAAATGGAAAAGGAGAGAAAAGAAAAAGAAGGAAAACGAAAAAATAAACAGAGCAAGAAAAAACCGGTTCAGGAACCTCCTAGAAGGTTCCCAAAACAGGAAAAAAAAACGGCTTGAAGGTTCCAAAAACCAGGATCGCAGCAATCATCATCAATGGGCCGGCCCATATCACGCGCTCGCTCGGGAAGCCTGTGCGTAACCTCGACAGCTTGACACAACACAACATGCGTCCAATAGGAAATTCCAGGAATCTCTACCATTTGCTCGTTTAATACTTGTGTCAGTTCTGAAAAAAAAAACAGGAGTATATGTTTTTTTTCCTTTTCCACCACGGGCCTTAGCTTTTGTGCAGTCTGATTAGGCCCCGGAGGTTCAGAACCACATGAGACAACGCAAGTCCAAGTAACAACCAGCCCATGTTTGCACCTTCTGCCGAGTAACAGCCAGTCAATGGATCATGGCCCAAATACTCACAAAAAATGTCGCAAAAAGTCTCCCTCTGCTGCCTATATGGCCGATTCCGCAAATACAGAGATCGGCCATTTTCGGCGTATATAGAGCTGATGTGGTATATACTCACTAAGTATATCTCATAAAAAAAAAGGGCAACCTGGTGCATGTAGCTCCCGCTTGCGCAGGGTCCAGGGAAGGGTCCGACCACTTTACTAAGTATATCTCATAATGCCCATAAACCCCCCGTGGGGGTCATCAAGTGTGCAGCGTTACCACCTTCATCTCTGTTGTTCTGCTGCGTTCCTCCGGACCCGAAAGGGGTACCGGCGGGAACCGCTTCCATTCAGTTCGACGGTGGCAGGCTCCAATGGAGATACCAGTAGCCCACAGGAACTGCGGGTACGCCGTCGATTGGGGTCTGGTGATATGTGTGTCGCCATCGCTTTTTCCGTGGATGTCAGGATGGTGCTCCTCTTATTGCTTAGCTTATTAGATACGATGTTTCTCTCCGACGAATGTGTTTTGATGGTTGATGAAGATCCCAGAGCTTCATCTTCATCTGTGCTGCTCCTCTCTTCTACATCTGAAAACCACCACGCGAACATGAAACTTAATTTCACCAGTTTCCTAGCGTGCATTTACAGCCATATATTTCCACAAAAGATCAGTCGTACCAGATTTAGGATGAACCAGATGAGCAGCATGCCAGCTTTTCCCTTTTGCCTGACCATAAATAGATACACTATAAGATGTCTACAAAAATAGACAACAAATTTGGTTTAAACTGCGGAATATAAGGTAGACCATCCATCCAAAAAAGATGTCTACAACTGGTCAAGGATCACCTCAACTCGCTGCTACAAGCATTAATTAACAAAATGTATTTAGAAGCTAGAACCTAAACCTTGGGAACTTACCGCCGAAAGAGGTACGGTCCAGCCTTTAATGATGGACCAATCAAGCGCAGGCCTCAGGTCCTTTTTCTTTGCAGAACATTGCTCGCCTTCACCCATGGGATGATCCAAGAACTTTACCTGTAGAAAAATGTCAAGCAGGAAAATGCGAGTTATTGTCTCTGATAATGTTGGTTATGGCAGAAAACCAATAATCAGCATGAAAACATGGAGATCAAATGATAACACAATTTGTCCCACTTCATATTTTAATCATTGACCAGAGCATGAAAGTTCATTTGATGTCGTTTTATCAGTGCGTGTCATCTTCATCAGCAAGAAAGTTGATTGTGTGTTACCAGCCCGTAACATAATTGGACCACCAGACTACAAAGCATGGACACGGCAGGATATGGCCGGAAACAGGGACACGCTCGGACACGCGTATACCGCCATATTTCGTGAATTACGTATTAAAAAAAGGAGGACACGGCTGGGACATGTAGGGGACACGTGAGGGACTCGGGAGGCCCAACTACGCTTCGGCCTGATAGGAAACCCTTTTTTTTTGCAGGTTGCATTCACGGGCGCCACAAAAGGGGGAGCTGGGAAGCCTCCTGGACTCGCCGCTGCCACCGCTGTATGGAGTCGCCGCCGCCGCCTGCACTCAACCGCAGCCGTCCCCCAAGTGCAGGAGCCTCTCCTCCCAACGGCAACCATGCTGGAGCAGGTAACCTTGACCTCTTTCATCTATTTGAATCGATTTTTTTTATTGACAGCTGCTGCTTGCTTCCCCTGTTCGTCATGCCCTTGTTGCAGCTGCTCGCTAGTTGCTTCCCCATGCTGCTCATCTGCTGCTGCTGCTGCTTGTTGCTTCCCCATGTTGTTCCCGTGCTGCTTGCTTGTTTGTTGCTTCCCTGTGCTGCTGCTACCTGCTTGTGTTGAACTGTTGATTGGTGCTTCATGTTAAGGAAGACCAAATCATCCGTGGGTGAGAGTGAAGGAGGACAACCTGGACCTGGTGCTGGGAATTTGAGAGTGCCAAACCAAAATGCTATTGGGAGCTAGCATTGCAGATGTTCGTATATTTTTCTACAGACTCGGTCAAACCTAAAGAAGTTTGAGTTGGGACAAAACTAGAACTTCAAAATATTTTGTAAATGAGGGAGTAAATGTTTACCTCAACCACAGTTTTACTGGTCAACTCAATAATCTGCCCAGTCCAGTAACAATCTTTATTATGCCAGTCAACCCAATCACCTACTTTCCAGGTATCACAAACACGTGCTATCACCTCGCTCTTTGAAAAGTGCTTAGGAACCTGTTGCCCCCTATACCACTGAGGAAAGGAAGGACGCAACATTATTTCAGTACTGCCATTTGATTTCCCTTCCAGGCATGCCTGGTTGAATGGGTTCTTTTGGAAGACTCCAATCCATTCGTTGGCTGCAAAGGGCATTGGGAGTAACGATATGAGGTGTAAAGAAAACGAACAGTTATAATCTTGGTCAGTATAGTCAATATACTCTCTTAGAAAAACAAAAGGTTATGTGCAAAAGAAAAAACAGAGCTTCCATATAAAGATATGCTTACCTTCTTCAGTATAGTCAATATACTCCAAGTAATACTCCAGATGCCCAGATTCTGTGACACGCATATCTTTTATCTGAAAGAGAATTAATACAATATGTGTTAGTAAAGCCTTATACCCTACTGTAGAGTGAGTGAACAGAAGTGTTATATTTGTAATTCATGAGATTATGGTCAAGCGATCAGACTGATGTTATTATTAAATACTATAAAAGTAGTGCCATACTACCATGATGTATCGGAAAGAAAAAGCTTCATCGTCTATGTTTGTAATATGTATTCTAGCACCCAAGGTTTAATCTAATTTATCTAGTTCATAGACTTGTGGACAACAACAGCATAGCCCAAAGTGTAGCATAGCCCTTTGTATTATAAAACTAATGACCAGAGTTCAATTCTTACCAAATGCTCATTGGTGGGCGTTGTGTGCATTTCATTATGATTTTCTGGTATTTAAACCGGTAACCTATGGGTTGTGAGCCTTAATTAGATCAGTTCGTAATAATAATGAAGGTTAACATGTTAGATCCGAGGAGGGCAGAAGATAAGAGTAGTGCCATAGGGGAGCTGTCAATACTAAGGAGGTTCCACGGCAGAGGTATCCGCACATGACCCATGCCCCTTGGGAGGAAGTGTGGTGGACACTGTACTCAGAACCAGGGTGTGTGTAGAGGCCCAAGCGGCTAGCTCAACTTTGGAACATGCCACATTGGGCCACGCACGTGACCCAGGACGAAATAAAGTTCAAAGCCAAACAATTCCTAGATAGAAGAACGAAGCTGAACACCAATAAAGAAGACGAGACTCCTAAAGATTCAAGGTCGAAGGTCTACCATGGACTGTGAGCTAGGTCCATAATCAATGGCCTGTCGTGAAGTATAGGCCATGTTTCCTCTTATAGCCTCGCTCGTGGTAACTTATGACCTTTTATGCTATTGCCCTTTTTACTTTCCTTCCCACCAAAGGTGATGGTGGTCTTCAAGTCAACAAGGCTCTTATATAAATCCTTCGGTGGTTAATAATTTATTACCTAGTCTCTTCTACCTAGTTCATGTCAGAGTTTGTGTTCAAAAAAATAGTTTATGTCAGAGTTTATATAAAGACTTAAAGAGCACCAAATAGTTACCCGAAGCATATACTAGTGATATCCTAAGCCCCAATCTCGACCCTCTCAATCCAGTGCCATTTTGATCAAATCTTACAACAAGAGATTTTGTATAGAAAATTAGAAATTCACTTGTCATTATTCCCGCCCATGTAGAATGACCTTTTCTGAGGCTAGCGTACACCCCTACTTGTCGCACATATCACTACAACGACAAATAGATGGAAACGGTATGAGAAATTGACATGAGTATACTAGAAGTGCGAAGAGAAATGTTTAGATTGAGTGGCCAAATTTCTACTTTGAGGGAAGTATTGACACAATAAAAAACATGGTGAGAGTGGTTGTTTGCTACCTAATTTACTAAATTCATTAATATCACACATAAAATGTAAATACATGTCCGACCTTCGAGCGGAACCATGCGCCTTTGAAACCTTCATCAAAGCACTTTGCCTTGGCAAAATCTCCAATTTTAAATGGAAGAATTAGATCCATATCCAGCCAACCTAAAGACATTACCAACAGAAGAAACCAGAGTGGTTAGCATGTCCAAATCACAGCATGCGTCCATATAATAAAGCAAGTTCTAGGAAAAAACTAATAAGAAAACACCATGCTTACCACTAGTAAATGCCAGAGTCAGAACAGCACAATCACAACCATGATTTTGTAATAATTGAAACAAATTCATCCAAGGCCACGCGCAATTAAAATACCCTCAGTTGAAAGGCCACCAGATACAGGACAACCATGAATTGTCCCTTATTTTCTTGATCATTTTTCTGATCTCATGGCTAACTGTTTATGCACCAAAAATCTGCACTCTTGTTATATTGCCTTGTCGTTTTCATATGTCCTTTTAAGTTGCATCACCAATTGTACTCTTTGCTATTATGCCCGCAAAATATGATGCCAGTTATCTAGAGTCTACTACTGTGCATTGCTTCTTCCAATATAAATGGGTCGGTTTCTAAACAGTCCTCAATCGTCGGGCTGTTGAACTGATGCATGTGGATGTGCTTATTGAGGCTAATGATTAGCTGGGAATAGCTTTGACACACAAGATTGAGAAGGCTTTTGGAAGGTTTGGTGTTGGCTAATGTTAGTTTCATTATGCCGATATATATTTTATTTGTTGGTCTATCCCTTATGACTAGTGCAACTAATTTGAAATTTTCAATTAGATGTCAAAAGCATTGAAACTGCTCCCTATGATGAAATTTGAAAAACAAAGAAAATAATTTAAAATATTCATGAAGATTATTCATGGCCTCTGTTACAGGTCATTTTAAAGGCATGTATTCCATAAAACTGTTGTTTATCCCCCACTGCAACGAGCGCGCATATTTTCTAGTAAATCGAAAAGCAGAACACTATACATACGATTTTGGTACTCCCTCCGATTCACATTACCTGCCGCTCAAATCAGATGTATCTAGCACGAAAATACGTCCAGATACATCCGTTTGGGCGACGAGTAATGTGAATTGGAGGGAGTAGCATGTTTAAAGTTATGCTCAGGTTACCGATTTTAGCAGCAGCAGCAGCAGATGTTGTTCCAGGGAAACCCCAAGAAAGAAAGCCTCGACCAGTACTGACGAGTCAAGATTTGACTAGGGTTTTCAGGGGACGAACCAGCACCTGAAGATTCCGTCGCGCGAGAGAGTGGGAGAGGGGGGGAAGAGGAGCTAACCTGAGGATCTCGACGCCGGCGGCTTCCTCTTCTCCGGGGTGAG